AAATGAGACAGTGAGAGCGAAAGAAGACGAGAATGATAGAAAAAGAGAAATAGTGTCTCTCCTCTGAGAGTACAGCGTGAGAGCAGGTCAGGATAGAGAGATCTGACGAACCAGAGACAAAAGACTCGCGCACAACTTTGGGATTTACTCACGAAATACAACACGAGAGAAAGAAAAGATGTCAGAAACGGACTCTAGAAAAAAGGGCTTCACCAAAGGCAGAAGTGCCACTTTCAGCATCGACGGCTTCAGCTTCACCATTGGTAAGAAACTAACAGATGACAGAATCAGGGTTTGATGGAAATGCATCACGGCTGCAGATGTACAGTAGAGTCAGTTGTTTTGTGCATCAGTGCTTATACAAACAGATGTGTTGATTTCAGGATGTGATGTGTGAGTGTTTGATTTCTGAAAAGACTCTTTCAGGTGAGCACAACTCCACGGTGCCATAGCAACCAGAGTAAGATGCACCTGACCACACACACACACACACACACACACACACACAATACACAATCAAACACAAACCTACTCAGAGCAAAATATTGTTTTTGCATGGCATATAAGATTGAATGAATTCTCATTTAAGTATCAGCTTCATCTCTGATGTTTCTGTTACGGTTCTTTTACAGTAAGACAACAGTACATACAGAAGTCTAAAATAAATGTGAATTGTAGCCTGGAAATCTGGTTAGAATAGGGGATAATTTGAAGAGAAATGTTTGTGAAAACACTGAAGTGTGCATTATCTTGTTGATGTAAAAAAAAAAGAAAAGATGCAAATGCATGCATTACTTGTTACTATTGCTTATACTTAGACTTTTATTCAAATCTCTTAACACCAAGTCAGTGTTATTATGGCATCGATTATATATTATTATAGTATTTATTAATATTTTAAATGAGCTTTTTATATTTTCAGTATTCATTTTATTTTTTTAAATTTTTGCAATCTTATATGCATTTTTATTACCTTTTGTTTCTATTTGTTTTTATTTCAATTAGTTTCTTTTATAAATTATTTTTTATTTTAGTTTATTTCATTTTTTCAGTAATTGTGGTGCTTCGACTTATTTCAGTTAGTTGCCAAGGCAAGTTTTTGTTGTAAATTTTAGTTATTAATTTATTATTTATATTTTATTTAATGTCAGGTTCACTTAAATAAAAAAAAGTTTTTAACTGTTTTAGTTAATGATAACTGACTTTTCATGTCAGACTTCTGAGCACAGTTTGAGACATCGCTGAGATGGCTTTAGAGGAGATGTGAGTGTTTTTCTCAACAGTGAAAGACAGAAAAGCAGGAAGCTTGAACAGAAGTCTCAGTTTGTTCTCCATGTAATTTCATTGCTGTCTAGGAGAAACAACTGAGATATTAAAGAATCATCTAAAAGTGATTATTGCAAGGATATAGGGATCCATCATCTATTATACGGCTTATTAGAATACTCATACTAATTACAAAACCATATCATTTTTTTAAATATTTAAATGTTTAATATAATAATTATGTTTAATATAATGTCTTTTTAGCTTCAATTTGTTTATTTCAATTTTATTTAATTTTTTTTAGAAATTTTAGAGCTTTAACTTAAACGTAATTCTGTTCATTGCCAACTTTTTGTTGCCATTTTTTAATTAAATTATTAGTCTAATGTTTGTTTTATTTTATTTCAGCTTTATTTCAATCACCGAAAATGATTTGTAATTGTTTTACTTAATGATAACAACACAAGTATTTAACTTCACCACAGTTTGACCAATAAAAGAAAATGTAATAATAAAATAAATAAATGTTTTTACAGCTCATTACAATACTCGATTCTGATTGGTCAGTCATGATCAGATATTTTTGTGTAATAACCACTAAACCATACAACTTTTTAAAAAAATAATTACAATTTTTTTTTTTTATATTTCTGTTTAGCTTTCATTTGTTTTTATTTTAGTTTTATTGTAGTAATTTTAGTGCTTTAACTTAAACTTAATTCCATTAGTTGCCAACTTTTTTTTGCCAGTTTTTTTTTATTGTAAATTATTAGTCTAATATTTATATTTAGTTTTATTTCAGCTTTATTTCAATTACAGAAAACGATTTCTATTTAATGATAACAACACAAGTATTTAACTTTGCCTCTCAACTCATCCTTTCAAAATCTAAATTTCAGATTAATAATTTGATTGCCTCAAATTTGACAGATTATTAGAATACTCAATTCTGATTGGTCACTTGTGGTCATATATTGTTGTATAGCTAATAATCACTAAACTTTACAATTGCCATTGACCCAGGCAACTAGTTTGCACTAGTTTCATGTCTTCCTTCTTACATGATAACATCATTTCATCTCAAATCAATATTTCATGTCCATAAGCTGCTCATTATCATATTATCTCAAAATAAACGCATCGTGTCTGGATCCTGGTCACCTTGTCGGGTTTATTTTGAGATAATGAACACATTAATGAGGTACATGATTTTTCCATACACACCGTCCTGTCGATCGGTCGTTTTTTCTGAGAAACACACACCCACGTGGGAGGACAACGGTCAGGAAAGGTGTTATGATGGAAACATCAGAGGTGTTAGATACTTTTTTACTGTCTGTCTCGATGCATTTATAGAAGGAAGCTCCTTACGTGCAAAACTCTTTATTTAACTAATGCACTTTTAATACTGTAGATAAACTAGTTAATCATCATACAAGATCACAGCAGGGAATCTCACATCATAATGCTTTATGGCTTTTTCAAACATCTGCCTGTCGTCATGGTTACGCAGCCCAGCAATCAATTGCTCAGTGTGCTTTGAGCTCATTACGTGTGACGTGTTGTCAATCGGGTCCAGTGGAGCGTGACAACGAGCTGCTGTTAACTTAATGATGATTGGCTAAAGCAGCGTGACAACTTCCTCTCCGCCCTCGGTGTCACTCTGGGGGCTTTTAATGGGTTGCGTGCTGGAGAAACATAGCGTGCGTGTGTGTTTTGGTCTTGATACAGAATGTCATGACTCTTAATGGAGGTTGTGTGGTGTTTTACTTCACTAATGCATGTTTTTCCCAGCTCGAACAACGTATGCGCTCGAAATGAGATCTCATCGACTGGTTTTGTTTTCCTGACTCTGCCTGCTAATGCGATTTACATTTAATGCAGAGAAGCAGCTCTCACAACCCAGCTAAAGAATCTCTTCAACTTTGAACCTGCCTGTGCACTGACTAGATTTACATACACATGGTAATGCACCGACTGAACTCTTGTTGGTGTAATAAGATGCAAATGCATGCATTATTGGTACTATTGCTTATACTTATTCATATCACTAACCCCAAGTCAGTGTTATTATTTTAGTATTATTTATATAGTTTTTTCATGATAGTATTTATTAATATAATATCTTGAACAAGCTTTTTATGTTTTACGTTTTCAGTTGTCATTTTAATTTTAGTTTTAGTAATTGTATGTGCTTTTTATTGTTTTTTTTTAAATAATGTTTCTATTTTAATATATATTTTATATGATTTGTTTTTACTTACATTTTTTCAGTTTTATTTTTTAGTAATCTTGGTATCTTAACCATAAAATATAAATATATAAAATATCAACTATTAAAATATAAATATTAGATGAATAACTTGGAAAAAGCAATTAACTAAAACTAAAACCATAAGTGTTATTATTTTAAATACACATAAACATTTTAAAAACTAAAACATATTTTATTAGTACTAAAATAAGTCAAACTAAAACTTAAAAATTACAAAACCACACAACGACATTACTAAAACTTTAAAATTAAATAAAACATATATATACTGTACAGGTGCATCTCAATAAATTAGAATGTCGTGGAAAAGTTCATTTATTTCAGTAATTCAACTCAAATTGTGAAACTCGTGTACTAAATAAATTCAATGCACACAGACTGAAGTAGTATGAAGTATTCTAATTTGTTGAGATAGTGAATTGGTGGGTTTTTGTTAAATGTGAGCCAAAATCATCACAATTAAAAGAACCAAAGACTTAAACTACTTCAGTCTGTGTGCATTGAATTTATTAAATACACGAGTTTCACAATTTGAATTGAATTACTGAAATAAATGAACTTTTCCACGACATTCTAATTTATTGAGATGCACCTATATGTATATGTGTATATATATATATATATAAAAACTATTAAAATATAGATTTTAGGTGAATAACTTAAATTTTAGTTTATTTCAGTTAGTGGACAAATCAACTTTTTGTTGCCAGTTTTTTTTTTATTATTCATGTAATATTTTATATATCTTTTTTTAATTACAGAAAAGATATTTAACAGTTTTAGGTTTATAAAACGATAACAACACTGCCCCAAGTATTACACTTTGCTTTGCAACTCATCCCACACAGTTTGACCCATGAATGATAAAAAATCTATTTGCACAGCATGATTGGGTTTATGATTTTTGTGGATAATCAGAAATAACTGAAAAAAAAAAATCCCTTGACTTGAGGATTTTTTTGACTTGTAACCCCAACTAGCCTCCTAGAACACCCTAAAGCAACTCGCATAGCAATATGCAAAAAACACCTGCATCTGGAAAAGCAGTTTGTTATTATAAATTAAAAATAAGTAAATCGAAATGTTTGCCCTTCTCATTATAGCATCTCCAAAGACTTTCTTGTGGATCATGCTGATTTTCTCTGCCTTTTTTGTTCTTGTTCTTGTGTTATTTTTTACTAGAAGTGACTCACAGTACACTAACAACACCCTTCCAGTCCCCTCGTTTAAAAGCAGGCTTCCACACTTTTCCAGCAGCTCGCTTCATTATATTCATATTATGCAAAAAGACACATTAAGAAAGGAGCCAAAAAAGATTTTTAATGATGTATTTTACTAAGCCTCTGAAAAAAAACTTTCGAAAAAGGTATTTTATGTTTTTTAGAGACACACACACACACACACACACACACACACACAAATGCAAGCATATAACTTTGTCTCTCTCTGTTCTCTGTAGTGGCTAATGAGGATGGGGAGACCAACAGCAGGCCGCTGGCAAGATTTGCACGTAAGTATGCGTTTATTTATTTTTTTAGAAAGCAACAAATTCGCACTGCCCTACCTACATTTCATTTTTGTATAAATCTACATCTTGTTTCATATTCAAAAGGGAAGGGCAGATATGAAGTAGAAAGAGCACATTTGCAATTAAATTTATTCATATAACAGATGCTTTTATTCTGCGAAGTGCTGCAGAAACACTTACAGCATGTCTTGGGTTTGCACGGTCGTGGAAAACTGAAACTTCCATTTCTAAAACAACATTGTCCAGTAATCACAAATGACTGGAAAAGAGCTGAAGTCTTCATCTTGTGGTTTTAAGATCTCTCTAGACCACATAAACATTGGCTTAATGTTTCACATTAACACAGACAAATCCACAATTTATTACTTTTACAAAAGTTCAATATCTCAACCAGTCTTTAGACCCCACAGATTCTCTGAAACTTTTCTGTGACTTTTGTAATCTTAGTTTCTGTTCATTAAATCGTCAACATATTCATATTTTTAACTTCTGATATTAATGCGTTTTGGAAAACTTAAAGCAGTAAAAAGTAATTACTATTATCTATAAGTAAAAGAAACAAAAAAATAAATACATACGTAAATTATATATAAAAAAACCTTCTAATTGTTCTAATTTATTTAGTTTTTAAGTGCTAAAATAACTAAAGTAAAACTTAATAAAGACATTTAGAAAGCAAAAACTAATAAAAATGACGAAACACACAACAAAATACTGAAACTTTAAAACTGAAATGGAAAGAGAAAAAATCCAATAAAAAAATATTAAGAAAAACTATAATGGTATATTGGTACTAAAATAACACTAGAGAAAACTTGAATATCTTACATTATTGCAGCAGTGAATTCAGCAATGAATTTGTCGTGCAGGCCTTAGTCTGGGACTAGTTTTTTCACTTCAATATTGGTCATTATTACCCCGTCAGATGGCTGATATTTCTTTTAACAGGCATTACACTTTACATGGGCATGCCACTAGATGGCAGCATCTATCAAGATATTCAAGAGTTAATTTGGGGATAATACTGCATCCAAAGAAACGAGTTTTTCAGAGATGGCATAAAGATTACATCTGAATAACAACATTATGAGTGCATGAGCTCATGATGATAATGATATGCACAGACTTGGTGGGAGCAAATCAATATAATTTACTATGAATCAACAACTGAGCCATTAGGCTCCAAAGAGGAGGCTTTTTTAGTCTTAGAATTTTGGTCTGCTGATGCCATTACTGTTATTTTGAATCCGAACACTGCGATAAATAAATAAATATGTTAAAATTTCATTATGAATTGATTAAAAAATGCTTTCAAATCAGCAAACCATTTGCATTTTTGTGTGTGTGCGCACAGTGGGTGCAAAAAAATAAATCATAAAATGTTATAGTGTAACAAAAAAAAAAAAGGCAATGGATTCATGGATTATAGATTGTCATATTGTTGGGATCATTGGGATTTGTTCATTGTTAAAATATTTGCAGCATATCTGTGTGTGCATATTAAGTGAGTACAAATAAAGCGAATATTTGCACTATAATATTTATAGTGCAATAAAATATGAAAGAAAATAAATAAATTGAGATTAAATGTATTAATAGTAATATTTGCAATATTATTGACGGAGAAATGGGGGCAAGGGGGATCATAGGTTGGCATATTGTGGCAGACAAAGACATAATGTGTTGTTTTTTAGATAGTAGTATACTGAATAGAATAGCATGACAGCTTGTCACTGGTACTATTATGAACTCTATAGGGGTAAAAAGGTACAAAGGTGTCCCTTTGAGGGTTCTGCCCCAGTGACAAGCTGTAGTACCCCTAAAGATACAATTAAAAAAAAAAAAAATCTGAGAGTGAATGGGATTTGTTCATTGTTTATCAAAGGGTTTAAGTCTTTCTTTGACTCTCATTCATCTGATTTCCAGGCTCAAAGTCTCAGAGTGAGCTATGGAACACACTCACTGCTGGGACGTGCAAGAAGGAGAAGGTCAAAGTTCAGAGCGACGTTCCAGACGATCCACGCAGAATAGAAGAGATCCTGGCGGATGAGCTTCCCTCTACAGACGTCCCAGAAGCAACAGAGAAAACTGCTGTCAGGTTCATCTCTCTCCTTTTATGATGGTTAACGGTTGCTTTACAGGAATGCTTTCTCAGTTATATTTCAATTATCAACTTTGTTTCAAACGTTTCTCCCATATTGAGATCACATACTTTGGTTTTGAGATCTCTTCTCAAATCTAGAGGAGAGACACGTGATTACTGGGGTCTTTTTCGCAGGAGAAACATATTATAACCTCCTGTTCAAACAGAAGTACTCTGTTTAATCTCATTTCTGTCTAGGAGGATCTCATTAGTCATTTTTCTTCCTTGTGGGCCTAGAAGCTGACGTCAGGCATCAGGTTATGGGATTTGACTACAGGGCAGATCGGTCTAATTATTGATAATGGCACATATAGAAGTCTGATTTGTAAACATGCTCTATAAAATGTGTTTTTTAATGGTGTAGACAGTTGGGGGTCAAACAGGGTCACTAGATAAGCAGTTTTACAGTTGTAAATCAAGTATTAACAACATAGGCTATAGGTAAGAAAGTTTTTCAGTAACGTTCATTCATCCCTTTTGTTTTGGTTTGTATGACACGTGAACCACAACCTGACGGTGGACGTTTTTACAATTAAAGGGGTCATATGATGCGATTTCAAGTTTTCCTTTCTCTTTGGAGTGTTACAAGCTGTTCGTGAATAGATAAGATCCCTGAAGTTGCAAAGACTAAAGTCTCAAAACCAAAGAGATATTCTTTATCAAAGTTAAGACTCTGCCACGCCCCCCTAAAATGGCTCGTTCTAACATGCCCCCACATACCTACCTCACTATTGGAAATATTTGCATAATGCCGCCCAAATGTTCACGCAAAGAAAGAAGGCGTGGTTTCATTAACCGCAGTTAGTGTTGAAGCAGCCATATCAGGGAGACGCTGTGTGCTTCTAGGTGAAAGCAAAAGCACTTTATTTGGCCTTCCGAAAGTAGATGCATTTAGGAATCTTTAAGAT